CTGTTGCCCACGTAGATTAAATTAAATAACAAATGTACTTATAAAATTTGGTGTTTTTTATGCCGATTAGTTCTCAGACTCAAGAAAATTTGTATTTGCTTTATTGTGTCCAGACAAGTGCTTTATTTAGTTTGAATATTATCTTCAACCCAAAGTTATCTCCGTCAAGCAGGATGTTTCAATTTTTGTATTTTTTCCCACATGGACTTGTTTCAACTGTCGGGGTTAATAAAGCCCAACAACTATCCTTTGGGAGATAAGAGTAGATCTGAAACCGAGCAACGATGGAAGTACACAGCAGTTGATACAGCAAAGAAATTCATACGCACCTGAAAGTGAAGCAATTATTAATTTGTCATGGGCTGCAGTCATGAATATTAGTTAAGTCCATTTTCATTCGGAGTAGCGAAAATGTATCAGTCAACGTATCATTATTCATTACCACGCCAAAGCCAGCACGGTAGAAGGGCAAAAGACTAGGAAGATGTCTTTTACACATTTCATAAACGGCTGAGTTCCGTCTTTTCGCGTTTCAGGAATTGCGGATTCACTTATCTGCAGATTTTTTCTGTGGAGCATACTCCCAATATTCGTGAATTCTTTTCAGTTATGTTAATGACTAAATAATTGTTAACGATAAAAATAACATTGGGATTTTCAACTATTAAGATAGACAGCGAAATGCCCGAATATGGGGGCAACTTAATTCATCTTCGCCTTGGTAAAAGTACTAGTTTTAAGTGTGTTCACACAACTGTAAGCAGTGTATTTTTAAGACTAACTTTGCTAGAGGACATTGGCAGTTCAATGTATATTTGGTGTTTGAACATAAAAATAGGCAGTTATACCCTTTGTTATGGGTGGGTTTCAAGTGTTCGCGGATTTCAGCTATTTGCGGGTAGCTGTAGTCCCTAATCCCCTCGAATTTCAGAACTCAACTGTACCAAAAATACACCGAAGTGTAAATATGTTTGCCCGGTTTTAAGACGCATTTATTTTAAACTAAGTTATGTGGCCTTTGGGCAGGCGAACTAAAGTTTAACACTATCGTCAAACCAGCAGGCATGTGTAACTTACTCACCAAATAAACCATTCTCAGTGTTAATGACTCGCTGCAAAACTAAAACTCTGGCGCAGGTGTTTGCATATGTCCGAAGAGTTGAATTATGTGACTAGGGCCTACATCTCTATCCCGCTGTCTATGTTCTCCGTCCTGAGCAAAACTGAATATTTTTTACAGTTCGAGTTCCAGGAAACTGAGTATTCCCAGGCTTTCTTTTGCTGTGTATTTTCAAAGTAGACTGGCAACTTTTCTTCATTCTGTATGTAAACCTTTTCGAAATCGCGGAAAATGTAGCGAAACAGCCCCATTGAGCAATATTTAAGCAGAGAATACGGGCGTTGTGTTTGGTGAGGCTTTGAAAGCCCTCCCTCCTAGAGTTTCCTAGGGTTTATTTCGTGCCTTAGTACCAGCCTGCGAAGGTGGTTTCCGAAGGGCCACGTTAGCAGAATTCAATTGCACCATATCCGTATCTGAATCAGAATGTGGAGCGATCTCTTTTATGAGCGAATTTCCCTGTTTCTTTTCGGTTGCTAGTGATAAATTGGTATCTGCTTTTGGGATCTACTGTACTACTTCCCCAATATATATTTTATTTGATTTCCCAGTACTGCCTTTTTATTTGGGAATGTGTCTTGAAATTATACTGATCTCACATATCCCACTGAAAACAGTTTCTTGTTCGTCTGCTTAACTGGAATTCCAGTTCGTATAATATAATAAATTGCCTCTTTTCCCCTCCAGCTTCGCCACTCCCAGTCGCCACAAGTCTTAATGCTCGTGGTTTCGCTTTTGTTTTTGGTCGCTTCTGCATGGAGGGTTTCTGCGCAGCTTCCGCATATATCAGCCCTTTTACCGGATGTGTTCCTCAGCGTCGAACAACATGCCATCGAGGTGCCACCAGACAAGCCTATCATTCTGACAATATATGGTGACTACCTCGACAATGTGACCTCCGTGTCCTTCTCTACAGCCCACAAAATGCAGTACAGTTCATGCGAGATGGACCGGGCCACGATCGCTTCAACCGTCTACAACAGAACCGCCTTCTCGATACGTACTGAGCTTACTCTTCGTCAAATGGCACCTACTGAACCAGCGTATTATTTATGCCTCAAAGTTTCTCCGCCATTGCAAGTGGGAAATGAGTCTGTGGAATGGATCCACGCTCTTCCAAAACCAGTTGCTGGTCATTTGTTACTTATTACCGCCACTCAATTGATGCCGATATGGCTGCAGGTAATACTCATCATCGTCCTGTTCCTCCTTTCTGGCTTGTTCAGTGGCCTCAATTTGGGCCTCATGTCCTTAGACAAGACTGAGTTAAAAATCATCGAAACTGCCGGCGACCCCGACGAAAAACGCTATGCTAAAGCAATAAGGCCTGTGCGCGAGAAGGGAAATTTGCTACTTTGCACCGTTCTTCTAGGCAACGTCCTAGTTAATACATCACTTACAATACTCATGGA